CAAGGTGGGAAATACTTGTAACTTTTCAAAATGATATTTAAGCCACTAGGAGAGTTTTAAATAGTTAAACACTGATAAATACTTCTAAACACTTTACTGTCAATTAGCATTAAAGGTAGCTGAGTCTTTCCCAACACCATAACCATCTAAAAGAAACACACTATTTTCCTGTACAGTAATTGGAGGTTGGTATTTAAATAGTTCCTTGAAGGCAGACAAATCAAATTGCTATTTATTTTGGTTTTGGCTGCTCATAGAATGAAAAACATTACCAAAACTCCTGACACAGCCTAAAAGTTTTGGCTTTAGGGAGAAATACCTGTTTTGCAGGCACAGTGAGGGATGTGGCTGTATCACATGACTTGATCACGTTCAGCCCTGGCTGGAAAAAGCAGAGTTACCTGAGAAGTTGCTGACTGGGGCTGAGTGATCCCAGTAGGGATTCCCCGCAATTAGTCGAATTTAGTTTGCTTTAGCACACAGCAAGGTGTGTTTGTGCCAGCCAGCTTGAACTTTTGTCGTTGTGTCTGAGGTGCTCTGCAAGTGTCTCTGGCTGGGATGGGATGCTGGGGCTGGCCTTGCTCCCACTGGGCAGGAGTGTGTCTTCCCAAGTGCCTCTTTAGGAACTGCTCAGTGGCAATGGGACAGTGACCCCAGAGTGAGGATTTTGGTTAAAAAAAGGTGTCTAGCAGTACTATGACCTTTGAATGGCAGCAGGAGCCAGCAGCAGTGCTGCAGCTGCTGTTCAAGGGTTAACATTTGAGTGCTGTCACTCAGGTGAAACCTCTGGTCTCTCACCAGTACAGCTCCTCAGTGGCATCCACACAGGCTTAGGGTTTGATTGAAGATGTTGCTTCTTTCAATCTGTTCCCTGTCCACACTAACACCTCATGGACTTTTTTACTCAGGAACAAAGACAGAGGGGCTTAACCCTTCTGTAGAGTGAATACTGGAAGCTATATCACAGATTATACGCTGTAATAGACACCTGGCTAAATCCCTACAGAGGATTGTAACTTGCATTTTCAAACTGGGGAATGCTGCTGAGGTCAAGCAGGCCAATATTTTAAGAAGGAGCAAAATAAAATTTCAAGAACAGTCACAGCAACTGATTTTCATACCACTGCCTCAAGGTAATTAGCTCAGATGCACAAGACAAGAAATAAATATAGCCTGACTCACATTTGGAGTGAGGTTCTGCAGTAAATTTCTGCATTCAACTCACACTTCTGGAAATAATAGAGTATTTCTGCTTTCCTTTTCAAGAGATCATTACAATTAGTTCACTTGTTGCCATGCTGTACATTGCAGACAACTAATTGAACAGTAATAGCTAATAGCAGCAATTGCCCTAATGCTTACATTTTGCACGTGGATTCTAACCAGGAATTACTTGTTTACCATGACAGAGCCAGATTATCAAAGCATTGTGAGATAATACTCATTAGGTGTTGTCC